ATAACTATCGGGTAGGGAGAAGTTGATAGCTAGTTATATCCCCCTATAGTACATTTTTTAGACATTTCATGTCTGGCAGATCTAGACATGATTTTCCCGAAATGTCATACTTCCTAGAAATACAAAAGTAAAACACTACAACATGGAAAGACATAAAGGGTTTGGCTTGTCATGGGCAACACGCCTTGGACGAGCATAACCGTGACAACTGGCTCTGATACCATTTATAATAGCCCAAGCCCACTTCTTGTAGATATTGTCTTTCTTGAGCTTTCTCTTTCAGGCGTCTCCTCAAGGTTTTTAAAATATGTGTGCTAGGGAGAGGTTTCCACACCCTTATAAAGAATGATTTGTACCCTCTACAATCGATGTCGGATCTCACAATTCGTATTGAAGTCGTTTAGCTATGTTTATGTTTGGTTTGAAGATATTCTACATTATGCAAATTTGTTGAGTGTGTGTATTTTTCCAGGAGAGAATGGAACTATTGATGGTCAGGGGAAGATGTGGTGGGACCTATGGTGGAACAGGACATTAAATCACACAAGGGGCCATCTTATAGAGCTCATAAACTCCCACAACATTCTCATTTCCAATCTCACCTTAAAAAATTCTCCCTTCTGGACCGTCCATCCCGTCTATTGCAGGTTTCGATCTCGGTTTACTCTGTTCGATCCACGACTTGTATTTGGCTCTTAAACTTCTCTTCTTCTATATTTCAGCAACGTTGTTATCAAAAACATGACGATCTTGGCTCCCCTCAACGCCCCGAACACTGACGGTATCGATCCAGGTATAGCTTCTTTTCTAAATAATATACACAATTAGGATCTAGAAAACAATGGTGAAGTTCTAAATTCCAAATGCTCGTCTTACACTCTAGATTCGAGTACTAATATCTGTATCGAGGACTGTTACATCGAGAGCGGAGATGATCTAGTTGCGGTGAAAAGTGGATGGGATCAATATGGAATCAACCTTGCACGTCCGAGCTCAAATATCATTATAAGACGAGTATCAGGCACCACTCCAACCTGTTCTGGAGTCGGAATAGGAAGCGAGATGTCGGGGGGAATATCAAACATAACGATCGAGGATTTAAACATTTGGGATTCAGCAGCCGGTGTTCGAATCAAATCGGACCAAGGAAGAGGAGGGTACATTGCAAATATTAGTATAAGCAACTTTGTAATGAACAGAGTAAAGATGGCTATAAGGTTCAGCAAGGGTTCAAACGACCATCCGGATGAAGAATGGGATCCAAAGGCAGTTCCCATGGTTAAAGGTATTTTCATAAGCAATATCACGAGCTTAAATTCAACAAAGGCTCCTGTTCTGAATGGCATAGAGGGCACATTATTCGATGGTGTGTGTATGAAAAATGTCACTATTCTTGGTCTCGCTCCCTCCGCAAAGTGGCACTGTGCTTTCGTGTCGGGCTTTAGCAGTGCGGTGTTTCCTACGCCATGTCCTCAGCTGCAAAACATCACGGTCTCATCGATGTGCTCGTGATTTTAAGCTTCTGCAGGCACAGTTTTGCTTACTTTTGGGCATCACATGAGACCATGGCATATGCTTGGAGCTTTTCAGTTTTCAAAATTTGAGTTATATTACGACGATGGATCGATCGAGGACGTGCTGCTAGCTAGACATGAGCAGCAGCTACTGAGGTGTGATGTGTGTAAGTTTTTATGGTGAAAAAGTGGTTTTATTTAACAAAATTCACACATGAGATTGTGAGATTTTAGTGACTGACCCAACCATCCACATGTTGTACAAAGTGAGGGATATGTGTTTGTAACATTTCATAGTGATTATTATTACAATTTTTTTGTTTGGAAATAAGAGGAAAGTTAGGCACCTTTGCTTCATATCCAATTTCCCTTCTCTCTCATAACACATTCGATTATCATCTCAGTTCTCGAAAAAAATTCTTCAAATGATCTCAAGTCGTACGAACAACATATCTTAAGTGTAAAAATTCGATGTTCGGTAGACTCTAAAGTAAAAATGGTAGACGACCCTATTTTTACTACTGAAATAAAGTCACTACTACATGTCTGACTTAATTAAGAAATGTGACAAAATCTTTCAAAACATTTTTAAACGGTGTCATGTACTTATGTGCTTATAATAAAATTGTTAAACAATTACCGAGGAAATAAATAATGTGAAATTGCATCTATCCTAACTTTAGTCTCACGGTAGTCACCATGACGTCGTCATTAGTACAGAGGTGTCTTATCGTTACTTGAAAAGTAAATGTAGTACGTGGCTTAAATATTTTAAGACATACTTAGTAAGTAACTCACCACTGAGGACACGAAATGCAATCATGTTTGGAATCTAGTATTTTATAAAATGTAATCTCATAATCTTGGTCTCAACTTCAAGTCGAGGCTGAATTAGATATGTAATACTTATCTACACTTGACCTTTGACTAGCGTACACTCACGTTACCAGTATACCATTGGGGGAAGGGAGCGCACATAGTATCATGATGTGCATAATGTCGTCTTGTAACATCATAGTGTATGTGTTCGTACTAATCATAACGGGAAGTATCTTGATGCACGTGAACATACAATATGCATGAGATCTCCATAGTTTAAAATCGTAGCATGTATATGTAATGAGTATATCTTCGTTCATTTCATACTTAACATAATCAATTTATATCATTTCATAATGTATAACATGGTACCACGCTTTCATCATGAATAGCACAATGTTGTCAACATGATATTCCATGACATTAAAATATCTTATAATTACAACGTATTATAACATAATAAGCAAACATTAACAATCACAAGGTAAGACACGAGTAAGGGCTACAAGGTACACGTCGTTCATACTTCAAACAAGTAATCCAATCGAACTAGTAGTGAAGCAACTTACTTGAATAGCTTAAACTCGAGAAACCCTAGCTAATCCTTGGAGCTAGTTCAAGTCTGTCATTTAATATTCAAGTTAATCTATGTAAGTTCACGACATAAGATTAGAACACGTTAATGGGCCCAGTCCACCTAATACTCACAATAAAACACATACTTTAGCTTACAACGTTTTAAATTGGTCAAAGTTGATTGGTCGGCTCGATGAAGCCGTGTGTGAGCCGCACACGCACCTCACATGGAGGACAGTGTCGGGTCGGCGGGTTGAGAGGCTGGTCATCAGGTCGATTCGGATCGTAGGTTGGTTCGGTCTGTATTGGGTTTGGGCTCTGAGGCAGTTCAATCCCTGGGCTTGGGCCGAGGGGTATTAGATTGCAACAGATTGGGCTGCATTAACATAGGTGCGTACTGGGCTGGATGGTTGGCGAATTTGGGCCTAAATGTTGTGGGCTTGACTTGGCTGCGGTCGCTGGGTCGGGTTTTCGCTCAGATTTTGCGCCTCAAGCTTGGGTCGAGTAGATTTATTTTGGATCCGCGTAACTTTTCTGTCTATTATGAGTCGTACACATTCTTGCATTACTCTTTTCTATAGTCTCATTGGTGGCTTCGACTAATTTTGGTCCGAACAGTTCTATTCGCCTACTTCGTTCCAACATAGTAGGAACCTATATTGTTTTTTGTATAAGGCTTCGAACGGTGACATACCGATAATTTTTTAGAAATTATTATTGTAGGCAAATTTTACAAAGTACAATTTTGAGTTCGAACTACTTACAAAATCAAACACACAGACACGAACCATGTCTTACAAAATTTAGTTCAACCGTTCAATCTAACTATTTATCTATGGGTGAATGGTAGTACTGAAGTCGAGGCGAGTACCAAATGCTTTTCTGGAGGCCGTGCCAAGAGGCCGACGTAAAGCATGGGTCTCGATCCGACACAATTAACATTGAGACTACGTGCAGTCTGAAAATCTCTCTCATGTATAGCTGTGCCTAGTTATCTATTGTATAGGTAGCTTTGCTAGGTATGAAGTGTGCCGATTTGGTTAGTCTGTCGAAAATCACCCATATCATTGTGTAACCTTTTAACGTCCCAGGGGGCCTACGATGAAGTCTATAGCTATATTCTCCTACTTCTATTTTGGATACTCAAGAGTTACAACAACCCAACTTTTTTTTATTTTGGTGTCTTCACTTGTTCACAAACTATGCACTTACTCACGTACTCAGCTATATCTTCCTTCATATTGCACTTCCAAAGATAATTTCATAGTGACACTCGTATTTTTTTTTCTTTGGTTTATTTTTATTTTTAAAATTTTAATTCAATTTTAATTAATGTACCTTTAATATTTTTTTTTAAATCGTTGAAGAATTAGTACATAAGGGATTGGACCTCCCAAACTTTGGTGACTTTATGATCTCGTGGGAGGGTCCGCCAACTAACATTCCATGGATGATGTTCAGATTTATCTCACACCTTATTGTCCATTTTTATGAAGTAGCGCCTCAATCCAGGTCAACGATCATTCACTGGGTAAGCAAAACAAGCAACCTAAGGTAGTTCACCTCGAAGATGGAACGTGTCGCCCGACAGTCCAACGACATTAAAAAGTGTAAAATACCACCTTTGAACCCATAGTTAGTTTGAGAGTAGCTAGATTACTATATGGAAACTCAAGGCACTTCAGTAGCTCAAATAACCGTAGAAACTTGGCCCGAAGTTTTCATAGCCCAAAGTAAAACCTTTATAATTGCCCCTTTTCCCTTTTTTTTTAGGTACCAGTCGAAGTGGGAGGTGTTTGGGAGCTACGCTATCATAGAGAAGCGTCAGTCGGGGGCGTCAATTTAAATTTTACTTTTATTTTTATTTTAATCTTTACTTTTATTTACTTTTGTCTTGTTTTCAAGTCACCCACCTAGATTTTAAGGCTAAAAAATTGGGTCGTGATATCTTATCTTTGTATCAAATAATATAATTTCTATCTTTTGACAAACCATCAAAAATAAAGAATGATACCGTAACACCCCGACCTCTCTACACAAGGGCTAAAAAAAAATAATAATAAAAAAAAGGGTTTATTAGAAAGAAAAAGAAAACATTAATTGATAATCTCTTTCTCATATAATATAGTTGGAAATTCATTATTGCTCTTACATTTGACAACCAAGGAGAAACTCACACTCCATAACAAAATTCTCACTTTGCTAAACTAAGAGCTTCCCATACCAAGAAAGTCTATAAATGGAATCCTCCTCTTCTTCTCCCCCTTCATCTCTTCCTCTCTCTCACCCGAACCCGACGATGCCACCGCCGCCACCGACTTCCCACGGCCATTTTCGAGCATCGGACCCGCCGTGAGAGGACTCCATTTAGGGGTCATCTTCTGATGGGAGGATTGGAGGACGTTCGAAAAGGACAATAAGCAATGACGAGACCTTAGGATGTTGTTGTTGTTAGTGAATATTGTGAAACGTTCTCTTCTCCTTCTAGCCATTATAACATGGTAGTGATTCTTCACTGCATTGTCTGTTCTTCCTTTGAAGTGTCGGGCTATTAACGCCCATTTGTTCCCGTGAAGCCGTTGAAATATTAAAAGCCTCTCTTCTTCTTCCTCCGTAAATGGGTTCTTGTTTATATTCGGATCCAGTTGATTATACCATCTCAATCTACAGCTTTTTCCTACAAAAACAAAAATTTTAAAAGAATATTAAAGAACATATCCTCAAAAATTATAAAGAGTAAAATTTTGTTTAATTAATGATTTTTTTTTTTTACTTCACTCCTTCAAGCTATCAATTTTTCAATTAAATCCTTACAAATTTTGAATTAAAAACGTCAAAAATGTTATTTAATATATGTTTTTCAACCCCCCCCCCCCCCAAAAAAAAAAAAAAAAAAAAAAAAAAAAAAAAA